GCTCGGACATCATCCCGCGTGATTGGCCCATGGTAGAACATCCTTGTTAGTTCGAGGACCTGCTTCATGATCACTTGGGCAGGTTCACACTGTACAAGATAAAACTCAGCTCTGATTCGATGATCCGATGTCTTTCATATGCTTGTGGCCTAGTTGACAATCTCGGCATTGTTGGTAGTAGCTGATTATCCCTTATGTACTCGGTCAGGTGATGCATGAGGTAGAATCGATCAGCCTTACTAGTGTGCGGTTGCTGGATGCAGCAAAAGTCAGTCTTATGGCCAAATGCCACCCCGTGATTCATGTACTTTTTCACCTTGATATATCCACCAGATAGGCTGAAGGTTAACATGGCACTATCGAGAACACTCTTTATGTGCTTGTAATCCTTTTTCTTGAGGTTCTTCGATGAGTCCAAGCACATAGCATGGGAGTATTCCGGGTACATAACGATGAGGACAACGCCCCCCCCCCTCGCTGTGCAAATTTAGTACACCTCAAATTAGCCTCCATGCTTACAAAGGAATGATTAACACTTACGAAAGGATATGCGCAGATGACTTACGTGGGATGATACGGCAGGAGAATCGCTTCCTTGTCCTTATTAGCGATCATGAAGTCGCCGAGGTACTTGCTCGCATAGTCATGGTGCTCTTTACAAACTGCCAAGAAGATCTCGTGCATATAGTATGGGCCCGCGACGCAGATATATTTTATGTTCTCAATCTTGATGAAGTAGTGAGATACAACGAATACATGCGGCTGAACTGGAAATCCATCTTGGTCATGTGGAACATGTCGTAGATGTAGTCAAATCGCAGGATGAACTTATCTGTGGGCCATCTCTCAACGTACAACCTCCCACCCGGCACTTGAGCCGCGTAAAGCGGGTATCCTGGGTTTTCCGAGATGAGAAGGATTTTCTCTCTTGCCAGCACATCTTCATGGAGTCTCCTTAGATCATTGTTCAGTATGTTCTCTAGCGCTTTCGCGGGTAGGATCGGTTCGCCGGCGACATGGAAAAGTTTCGCACCTTCGACAAGTATTCTATGTACCACCGGGGCTTCAGAGGCGGCTGGCTTCTTGAAGCGGCTCTGGCGCCTTTAGGGCCATTCTTGTCTGCTCTCCTCCTTTGCTTCTTGGCGGGTGGCGGTAGTTAGCCCACCATACCTTCCCTAACCACTAGCCCTAGTGTCATTGGGCTAATCAGTGGACGACCCTTGGGGGGTTGCTGGGTAGAGGCGGCATCTGGAGGCGTCTCCTGCGAGGATCTCTTGAAGAGAGACTTTCTGCATTCCGCCTTAGGACGTTTCGGCTCTGGCAAATCAGGCAGCATCAAGTCATCATCGCCATGCTCATAACCCATCTCTTCGCCATCCTCAACCATCAATCCTGCATCATCATAGGCGGTATTGAAATACTTGTCTGGGTCATCATCCTCCTTCTCCTCCTCCATGTCATCATCAACATTTGCTTCTTCGACAGGGGGGCGACATGATCTGGCACTAATGGAGGCTCTCCCTCGCGTCGTCCGCTATCACCCGCCACGACAGGGGTAGATAATCTGGTAGGTGGGGTGGTGTTCATACCTTCTTGAGAAGGTGGCCTTGGTGTGATACTGGGCGCCTCGAGATGAAGGAGAGACTTCGGCCAAGGCAACAACCAGCCCTTGCATGCGCCAATCCTCTTAGGGGTCTCGTCGTCATCGACTGGTACCAGAGGAGGCCAATCCTCGAAGCCCACTAAGACACTGGCCACGTTAACTTTGAAGACGCCATCGGGCATCTGTCAGTTGTGGAACATGCGGTCCTTCGACTTCACGATCATTGCGTTTCCCACGGCCACCTTTTGGCCCTTGATGTCGTACAGTAGGATGCACGGGGTATCGTCGGCCTACGAAGAAGACATGTCTGCGACGTCAAACATCCGAAAGGCAACTGAAACGGAAGACTATAGACATGCTGGTGAAAAGGGTATGGCGTGTAATTACAATGAGGGCATCGAGCTTAGCCAACGACGAAGGCCCGCCGAGCATGCCAAAGACGGAGGTCGGGCTGCCATGAACCGGAGCGGGACCTTTTGTGGTTGCTTGAGTAGGTGCTAGTGCTGTGGTGTTCGCAGAATTGCTCCGGACAAAGCTGGGAAGGGGAAAGTCCTCCGGCCATGCATTTGGATTGTTCTTTGACCAATCGAAAATTGCCGGAATCAAGCGGACCACCGCGTTAGTGACCGCTACATTGACTAGCTCGACCAACTCTTCTTTGGTCTCAGCTTTGGTCTTATTGACCGTAATCGCGACCTTCTCGTCGATGGTCTGCTGAGTGACGACCAACCATGATGTAGGGTGGAAATCCTCGGGCCGATCTTTCACGATTGGAGCGGATCCTACAAAGAACGCGAGGAGGGAACGAGGGGAAACACAAGAGAAATCACCCAAACCAACAAGATTCGGTCACACATATGCTAGATTCTCGAAAAACAAAGAGATGCACGATCCAAATCCAACAAAGGACGATACATAGGGTCACTAGTTCTTCTCCGTGAGGAGGTCTTGAGGTCTTCCCGTTAGGGGTCTTGAATCCAAGTGGATCTTCTCGGAGGAGGCGATGGTCTCTCTCGGTGGAGTAGATCCGGATGGATAAGAGATGCTCTATCTCATATATGAGCTATCACAACGCTAACCCTAATTAGGAGGAGGAGGTCTATTTATTGTCTTAGTGCAAATGGGGGCGAAGCGAAGGGGTACATGCAATACCCCCCATATAGCAACGCATGGCTAGCAACGAAGCTAAATGATGTGTTGTGTCGTTGAACCTCCCATATTCCCCACTTAGCACTTACCTCCCAGTACCCACCTCCACCCCTTCCATCCATTGGTCAGCGCTCGCGCTCCACCTGTTTCCGCACATCCCTAAAAAAATCCCTGCTGGCACACAAAGCCTATTCTCCCTACGTTTTGGCCTTTATCCTAATAAAACAACCTAAGCGAGCTGCATCGGCCGCCGTCCCATTGCCCTCGCCGCCGCCGTCCCTTGTTCCTTCACCAAGCCCGCGTCCCTTGCCACTTTCTCCACGCTTCAAAGACGCACACTGCATCTTTTCCATCCTCCTCGCGTCGGGGACACACACATGGCGTCGTCGCCATCCTCCTCGCGTCTGGGAAGGTGCCGTCGCCGCCGCTCCTACGCGCGACCTGAGATGCCGAGGCCGTTGTTCTCCTCCGCACAGCCAGGGACGACGCACGCACCGACGCCCCGTCCTCAACTGCATTAGCTCAGCGGTACGCCCCCTGTCCTCGCTCGTCTTGTTTGTTCCCCGATGGCGCCCACTGGCGCACAGCAGCCGATTGGTCGCAGCCCATCGACCTACACAGCTCACAGCTTCCAGGCAGTGACTCAGCTCCAAAGGAAAGGAGCAACTCCTCTCGACCTCTCCAAAATCCCGAGTCCCTGCTAGTATTATTTGTGAGTTGCTCTGCTGATTTGTATCAACTATTCATATGTCTTGATAAAATTGCCCTTTTTCATGGAGATCATTTGCAACTGATGTGAGTACTTTTCCGCAGGAGATATTTGCCGGTGTAGTGATGTAAGTACTAAGTACTGCCTGCGTAAGGGGAAAATAACTTGCAAGATGGTGCAGGTAATTTCCTTTGATTCTTTCACATATCCCTAAATTTCACTTACAAGTTACAAAATTTTCTATTAATCTAATTACTTATTTCTACAGCTTTTATTGTATCCAGTAAAGAATTCTTGTTAACACTGGTTAGCATGACATCAATCTGAGTAAATTGTATCGAGTGAAGCATTGTTAACATGAGAACAATCTGACTGCGTGAAATTTCCAATTCATATCCACAGTGCCTCAAAAGAAACTGTATCTAGTGAAAAATTGTTGTTAGGATGAGTGCATAACAACTTTCCTTCAGCCTGGCCTGCCCTGCTATTTTTTTTGTAGGTCCGCCACAGAAACACACTAAGGCTCCGTTCGGCTGCTCAGTATTTTTTGAGTTTTAGGAAAATACCATTGTTTTTGTAGAAACCCCAGTTTTAAATACTTTGACGTGTTTGGTTTCGACAAATACTTTAGTTTTACAAACCATGGTATATCTAAAACTATGGTTTTTTTGCTGTATCTAAAAAAGAGGTCTCAACCTCTTTTTGTAAACTGAGAAACACTCGCTCGAGTACATCTTCTTCGGGTCCTCCTCACCCATCTCTTCCGCAGCCATGCAATTAAGATTACCACCTGGGAAGCTTGACTACTCTGCCGTTGATTTCTTCAATTGTTTACTATTGTTCGGCCTGTACATTAGATAGTACTAGAGGTACGGTCCTATCAGATGATGCGTTTACACATACAAAAGATTTAGCGAATGCTTAGACCCTGGAGTAGATCGATTGATACTGAGCAAAGTTATACATAGTAGTCTAAGCTAGCTAGCCGTTCGATTCGATGTGGCCAGAGATACAAGATTACTCAACAACATATCCTAGCATCTAGAGGATGTTCGCGTGCATGACAAGGCTATAGGCACGCAGCGGCCATTAATTAGCACACGCTGATCACGTCGTTGTATAACTCCTTTGTTGTAGGTTCAACTAGCTATATTTAGGATTATCCATGCAACGAGTGGTCAAAACCAAGAAACCAAGAAAAACTGCACTTGCCAAACATCTCTATAGTTTTTCTAAAACAGAGAAAAGCTGCGGTTTTTAGAAACCGAAGTATTCATTGCCAACATATTGGAATACCGAGGTTTTCAATTACCATGGTTTTGGAAAAACCGGGTTGCCAAACTAGGCCTAAAGTATTTAAAACTATAGTATTTTTTAGAAACCACAGTATTTTCCAAATACTGAGAAAATACTTCGCTGCCAAACGGGCCCACAGATTTACTGTTTCACATGCATCACTAAAGGTTACAGTTGACACATAAGTTTCTCAGTGAAATAAATGCAGGATTCTTCTACTCAAACATTGAACAAGAAGAAAAGATGGTTTCTGCTGAGGGACGTCAAGTTGATGAACATGTCAAGAAGATCATTGAATTGAAATATAAGGTATTTTGCTTAGTGTGTCCCCTGCTCTTTATCTCTATCTCTCTCGAAAAAGATTGTGCTCGCTTGATTCTATGACGTGCAGGTTCGGTCAGGAAGTTACAATAATTTTGTGGTGATCAACCAGAAAAGCATTGGTCTTCCATCCATCGATCTCCTAGATAGAGTAGGGGTAACTAATTCACTTACATCTAAACTTGTGATCTTTTTGGGGTTCCAGTTCAGTTTAGAATGTCGGTCATGAACTCATGATGGCACCAGCTGAACTTGGTACTCAAAAGTTGTTTGACATTATACATAATGCTACCGTATAAGCCATGAACAACCAGTTAAGTTTAAGACAAACCCATGTAGAAACCAGACTTCCTATGGTGGCTCAGTCTGGCACACTCATCTTTCCCTGCTGCTAATAAATTATTATTTTTATGCCCTTTCTTGTTTATAATTAGAGCGCACTCTTTTCTATACTAACTAGACCCCGGCACCCCTTCAAGGTCAAGTCAGGGGCTCAGGTTGGCGTGATGATGACCAGAAGTGGATTAGATAGTTTGTAGTTCTCCTGCTTTCTATGCATGAGTTGATAACTCCTACTGTCGCAAGTTTGATGATTTTTTTTCTCGTGTTGTTGCTTCTGTAGGTTCTGCAAATTTTATTCATAGATCAGGAAATTCTAATATGTGACATGGTAAATCTCAGGTAATTAGGATCTCTTGTGTGATGTATATTATGCAAAGATTTTTGAGTTGTCGGCACTGAGGTTTCTCCTAATACATCATGACACGCATGACTAATAAATAATCCCAAGAACGAGTAGTACGGGAATAATGTGACACAAAGCTAATTAATGCAGAGACCTCTCGAAAATGGAAATATTCAACTCAGTATATTCGGTATTATTAGTTACCAACTTGTCATTTAGTTGGTTGGTGAATTCATTTCATTGTTTATATAATATATTTTTTGGATCTTTAGTAGTATATGCAAGCTGATGGTTGTTCATAATGAACAACCACATCTCAAAGGTGCTTGCTGTATTAATATGCAGTTTCTTATCTCACGAGCCATGGACATTCAGAATATGTGCAAGGCAATTAAGGTAAATAGAAGGCCCTCAGTTTACAAAGAATTGGTCAAGAGTGAAGACTCAAAGTCTGTGTTTGTACTCCATAGCATGGCGATGGCCCTTTTGCTAGTGTGTATTATTGTTATTTTTTACCGAGTGATGATACTGACATTGCAAGTATGTGAAGTTTCCACATTTGAATTTTGGTCTTTTTTAAGAGAAAATAGACTGGAACACTAAAAACATATAATGTTAGTTCATATAGTTTTGAGTTGATACAAGATGTTATTTAATAAATTCATGTTCATGTTTTTGTATTCAGATTATTAATTATCCCCTTGTCTATATAATAAATCTATGTCATGATAAATCACATTTGTAAGGTGCTCCTTTAAATCGCACTTCTCTATTAACCTGATTTCTATAATGTAAGTTGCTCATCTAATACTATTAACATTGTTGTTGTTGCTGTAGATCATGAAGACAAATTGACAATGCATGGCTCACATGTTGATTGCAAGGTTAAGAATGGGCTACTACAAGATAATTAGAATGTCATTTTTAGGACCAAAGTTTCAGACATCATAGTTGATTGCAAGGTCAAGAATTGGGCTACAGATAGATAGTTTCACCTCTTGTAATCTTTGGATCACGTTCCTTGTAATGCAACATAGTCAATTTAATACATGAGAAGTTTATGTTTGTTATATTTTGCCTGCAACTGTCAACATTGCAAGGTCATGAATTGTGCTACTAATTTGTTCTGTCCATTTTAAAATCTGTTTGTCCATGATTGCCACCAACACATATCAAGCAATGGTCTATTATATCCACGACCGCCACCAACGCATATGAAGCGTTGTTGAGCTATAGCTCTATATGTTGCTATCTACCAACGCATCTACATGCAGTTTACCAATGCATGCATATATGTTGTTGTAGACCATTGCAACGCCACCAACGGCAACGCATACTAATTCGTTGGTGTAGGCCTTGGCAACACATATATGGAC